ATTCCCCATCGTCAGATGAGGGTGACTTTTCGACCATTGCTTTGAGTTCCGCGTCGACTTGTTGAGCTTTAATGATGTCTTCCTGAGATATCCTCAGGGGTAAGCCCAGGCTTGTGTTCTCTGGAAGCATAGACTCCAGTTTGGGAGATGGATTTCCCGACGATGATGGTAGGTGTGGTTCATGCGCTGTGTCAGCCAATTGTTTGGTCTGGCTTCTTGTCACCACACATGCAGGATACAGTTCATTATCATTATCTGGAACTGTTGACAAAGGGTTTTGAACCGTACAGGGGTATACTTTGCTTCCTGCAAGGTCATTCCCTAGAAGCAGGTGTACTCCTGGGACAGGAATACTATCTATCACACCTAAAATGACTTCGCCTTCGACGAGATGATGTTTCAGGGCAAACTTGTGTAGAGGGACTACAGTAGATTTTGTCCCCACTCCCTGGATAATGGAAACATTTCCGGTGTTCGTCTCCGGTGTAATATCCATAGAACTTTTCAAAAGAAGTGACTGTGACGCTCCTGTGTCTCTTAGGACGGTGATATTCTGCTGAGACAACGGATCACCTGGTTTGCTAATGATAGCTTCGGTAATGAAAGATGAAAAGTCAACCTTTCTCGATCCCTCGAGATCGGTAGACTCGGAAGAAACTGGATGGTGGCGTGAACAGTCAAAATGTGACTGAACATAATGTGTGGAGACTTGACTGCCTTCCTGCGGACACTTAAGGTTAGTGTCCCTCAGAATTCTAGAGTTCATATTTGAACTGGCTGCTTGAGGGGATAGAGCATAGTGCGCAGAAGTACGCACCACCTCTCTGTTAAATTGAAGACGTTTGTAGCAGTCCTTGACATGGTGACCAGGTCTTTTGCAGAACTGGCATACTGCTCGACGATTGAGAGTTGATCTTGGTTTCTCTCTGGACTGTAATGCCTTCACGTGTTGGCCAACAGGAGGATTGCTGCCAAAAAGGGGAAGCACGGGGTTGAGGCGGTTTCCTGACACTGGTGGTTTCTTATGCACCAACATATATGTGTCAGCCGACTCAGCAGCCTTCTGGATGTCAATTATCTTGTTATCCAGTATGTGTAGTCGTATGTCTTCAGGCAGGGACTTTAGGAATTCTTCCCTTAGGATAAGTGATCTGAGCCTCTCAAACTCAGAAACTTTCTCAGAGTGTAGCCACCTTGAGAAAATTTTCTCTTTTTCAAAGAGAAATTCCACATATGATTGAGTGGGTAACTTGCGGAGTGCTCGGAATTTTATCCGATAGGCCTCGGGCGTCAGTTCGTAGGCCTTCAAAATGGCAGTCTTGACCAAACTATAGTTATTTTGAACGTCGTGAGAGAGTGCCTGGTATGTTTTTGCAGCTTTCCCTGTAAGGACCGTGCTCAATAAAGCAGTAATGGAAGTTTCGGGCCATTCACATGTCTTCGCTAAACTCTCAAATGAGTTAAAGAAAACGACCAAATCTGTTTCATCAAATTTAGGAACTAATTTCCCAAATTTGGCAATCACTTGCCCCACCGACAACTTTTTAGGATCTACCAGAGAAGTGACATCTCCACTAACTTTACCAAATTCAAATTCCAACCTCCTCTTATCTAAAGCAATTTTAGCCTCTAACTCCTGTTTCTCTAAAGCAATTCTAGCTTCTAATTCTACCTTCTCTAGAGGTTTCTCCTCACGGAGTATCACCCCAGCCAACAAACTTTCATCAAATACACCTTCATTAATAAAATGAACAACAATTTTATCTCTCAACACTTCTGATTTCTGAGTAACAGAATAATCCAATTTCAATTCCTTAACAACACTAATCAAAACTTTCCTACTCAACTTCTCTACCTCCTCAACGGTGGGATTAGATAAGAAAGACTCCATTACACTAACTTCAAAATCAAAACAAGCCTAAATTAACACGGCCCAACTCTGCGTTATGAACTTGACCTTCAATCTAGGACGTGACACGTCTGGCTTTTGACCTAGATAACTCTAGCCTTGCGCGCGTTTTAATAACACGGCTCCACTGGATAGAAAAACAACTAAATCAAACTAAACTTAGTGTTTAACTGATACAACCAACAACTGGAACGACAGATTAAATGCCGGCGAGTCCCCACTTTGTAACGGACACCTATCTACCAGCCAGATAGATGGTGAACGCCCCCGGATTCTTTCTTGGAGTTATATGCAAATGACCTAAAGCCTAACTGAATGAAAACTAACTCAACAACTCACTAGGGCTCGATTTCGAGGTCTAGGGAAAACTAGTGAAACTATTGAAGTTAACAACTCATTCAATCTGCATACAACCTTTAATAAGTGAACACAGTTGTGGCAGAACACAAGGTTAAACAAGATAAAATATTTAGTTTAGAAAATAACAAAACCCAACTTACAAAGCGTAAGAAAAAATACTATCACAGATTCTAACACTTTATAAAAATAGCCACAGGTCACCAAGAATCACTTGGCCACAAGTAATATAATACTAGAATACTTAAACAACTTAAGAATGCATAGCACACTCAGGACTTAAGTTCTCTCACGTTCAAATGGTCAGAATGGACTGCCGGTCAAAATGGACGGCCTGGTCATAATGGACTGCGTGGTCAGAACGGACTGCCTCGTGCCGCCTGTGGGCGATCTAGTTATAGACTTAGGCAACATGGGAGGTTACCCTCAACTCATGTGGCCATTGGTCGGGGTGGTCATCTGGTCTGAATCAATCAATCAGATCCTTATGGAAAATTTCTGAGTCTTAGACTCTCTTAGTAAGACAGCGGAAAAAACCCGGTTGTTGCACCATCGACCATATATGGTATTATAACAATGTCAAACTAAAACATTACTAGACCTAAGTAGGTCACACGCTGAAATTTTCAGGGAAGCTTTGTTTTGGATGACAATAGAATATTCAATTGTTATTATTACTAAATTGATCCATGGAAACATTTTATTGAGCATTTTAGACCGCTATATAATCTATATATATAATTCTCCTCTGCGAGCCGTTAGAAAACAAGCTGCAAGCGCCTCCTTACAGTCCCCTCTCTTTCTCTCTATCACTATCACTACCACCCTACCCCACCCCCACATGGTCTGCTGAGCTGTGGTCACGTTAATGTTTACAAACATTACAGCCAGGTTTAGTGACGGCTATTAGGGGCAGATAATTAAGTTTGAACCGACTTTAAACGTACAGGAGGTAACTAAGAGGAGGCTGCTTTCACGGGGGGGGGGGGGGGTGTAGGGTCGGGGTTAGGGGAAAGGAGGGGGGTTAGTGTTTTAAAGCAAATATTTTCAGTGGCAGCATTGGTACTGTCGAATTCACAAATTATGAATTACTGAAAGTAGAAAATAAATCAACTAAATAGCGGCGTATGATACGCCGCGGGTCGGCTCGTTGTAGTAAAAACGTGCGGAAAAAGGGACATAACCCAGTAACTGTAATTTGTGTACAAACAACCGTAACAACTGGTGGCCAGTATGGGGGAGACGATATGGTCGAGTGGTTGGGCACACGATTGCTATCCCACTCGACACGGGTTCAAATCTATGTGTTCTAGTCAGTAACGTATTCACACAACGTGTTTTGTACGAGTTGTCTTTTTACGAGTTGTCTTCGTTTACCCAAAAAAAAATTGAAAAGATAAAATCGATAGCAAGATTTTTATGCAAACAAACAGACAAAGACTAAAAAGTTGAAAATAATAATCATTAAAAAAGTTAAAAAAACCCACGTTTTCTGATTGAACTAAAAAGTAGAAAATAAATGCTATACATCACAATAATACAAGCGATCACTCTACTATAAGCGATCAAAAACGTGGGGCGCCGTGATTTTCTTACAGTTTCTAATACTGTTGACTCTCTACAAGCTCCCTAATAAAAGTCTATAGTATTATCTAATCAATAGTAATATAACTTTTACTTCGGCGCCCCAGATATAATTCATTTTCAAACATTAAAATAAACACTAAAATTGTGTTTGAGCCGGCTAAATATTTAAAAGGTTTTGCGTCATATCATATGTGTAATCAAATTGTTCTAAACAACAGACATATTATTAATCTACAGGATTTAAATGTCTTGAATTTTGAGAAGTATCTTGAATATTATCATACAGGTTTTTAGGATTAGTTGTTTCGCTGTCTTCATTATAAGCATGTTCCACAGAAGGCTCTGGGTTTTGTTCAGGGCAGGAATCATACACAGATACGTAAGCAGGGACTGTCTCCGAAACTAAAAATTAGACATGGTTGTGTTAGTTACACGTATCGCAAACTAATATCTCAAACATATGAAGCAACTATTATTTTATTTTATTTAAAACCGTTATTGTATCAAATCAATTTATAAACAACAGAGTAAATGCAATGTGAAATCAAATGAGTTTAAACCCAGTGTTACATTTTTTAATCATCTTCATTTCCGTTCGTGTCCAAGACACATAGGGCAGATGAAGTAGAGTTTATCTGCTTCAGAGACCTCGGCACGTAAAGGTATAGTGTGGACAGAACTATGCCCAGCCGCCTTTGTTTCCGCAATGTAAGTTAGGTACCCATCACAGCTGGGTAGGTTCAGGGACGTTATCCTAATTGTTCCACTAATTTGAAGTTCAAATTTTGAACCCGGATTCGACTTTTTAAATACTTTTTAATACTTAATTTAAATTACGCGAACATATATGCTGCAAAATTACGTACCCCTGTTTTGGTTTCCCGATTCATTCCGTCGTAAACAAAAACACTTTGACACAAAGTCTTGTCTGTAGAATGGAACATTTTAGATTTAGCTTGTCAATTTTTTTGTAAATATAACACTTTTTTTTCCATTTAATTTTGTTACAAATAATAACAAAGTTTATGACCAAATCGACGGCTTATATTAATTAGTATACTATTTGAGTGTTGACATTTTTGGTCCAATGCAAGTGCAATAAATGCAATATAGACACAATCTATTTTAATAGATTGTAATTATCAACTATGATTATTACACGAAAAAGGTGTATTGTAGGCTTACCGTAATTGCTGAATACTTTTTCTTACTAAACAAAGAATGAAAGAAATATAAAATAAGTCAACAATCTTTGCATTGTTATATCATACAGAATCATTACTGATACAGCTTATATGATACAGATTTGTTGAATAATGATTCATCTATGCTTACCTTTTTTAAAGCTTAATAAGCCGCAACCAATAATACAGAACAGCACTAGAATAATAAAGGCTATCATATATTTCATAGAATCGTCTGTGTCGTTTCTATCTTTGGAGTTCTTTGTACCTAAAGAGAAATATACAATTAAAAATTGAATATGTTTATATACTAACCCGTTGTATATAGAGTAGTATAAATTCGTCAGTCTATTATAAATCTAGCATATAATAAATCTAGCATTCAACAATGCAATTTAAAATTGTTTTATAATTTTGCAACAGTTAGACAAATAAAAGTTTGTGTAAGTGAAAATATAGCCATATATTTTTAAAAATAGAAATAAAGTATTACAAAACTCATAGGGTATAAGTTCGGTACATTTGTGCCAAGATTGGGTAAGAACTTAGTAAATTACTTTTGTTAAATCCTTTCCGAAATTGCATTATTTAATCTCGTTGGTTGTGCGTTTTTTTTTTGCTTGTTTCGTTCGATGTTGTTCATTTGTCAAACTTGAAGAAATTCTAAATATAATCGGGAGTGATTTTCCCTAAACTTCTCGATTATTCTAAATTAATAGAAACGGTGACACTTACAGGTCTATAGAAATGTTATTTATTATTTTTTTGAATTTTTTTTAAGCAGAATAGAATCGAGCAAAAAAAAAAAAAAACAAAAAAAAAACAACAACAAACAAACAACAACAATGGCGCGCCTAATGAATGAAAACAGCGTGTGTATAATAGAGCGGGAGAGAAGTACTTTTAAAAGGAAATATTTTGGGAAATCGTAAAGAGTACAAAGTTTTACTTTCGGTCTCCGGAAATCATAATACGAAAGAAAACAGTGAACAAAATCATATACCTATGCATGAAATTTCGTCTAACTGAAACAGTACTACAGTTATTTTGTATTTTACTATTTTTTAAAAACAGTAAATAATTTTTGTAAAAATATTAAATTTATCCAGAACAGTACCTATCTGTATATCGGAAATCTCTACAAAATAAAAGTGACATAAGTTTAAGTTATTTTATTTAAAATTCCGTCCACGTAATTGAAACAGTGCTAAAGTTATTATGTTATCGCGGAAATAGAGTTAAGTACCATTTTTAATATACGAATATCTTTCAAACGTTAACAAATACCTGCGCAAAAAAAAGTAATACTTAAATATAAAAGTTCATTTACCTAAATTAAGCAGTATTCAAGTTATTGATTTTTGAGAAACAGGAACTTGAGTTAGTTCTAATACTAACCTTTTACTTTAAACCCCTAAAATGTCAATACAGAACTACACATTTGATATGATACATAAAATTATTATAAAACATGTCACAAACAGAACTGAAACGGTACTCGAGTTATCGTGGTCACAGTGAAAACATCCTCAGGACAATCTGCAAAACTAAAATTTCCGGATGCGGACGGATGTGCAACATTAAAAGTTGTCAAAATCTGAAGTTAGATTTTTGCACGATTACATTTCATTCTTTACATTCAGAACACGATAAAGTAGGGATAATACAATTTAATTAACTTGATTGTGGTGGCTTAGCTGAAAATCTAGACCGATTGATAGAAATGAAATCTTATAAACGACGCACAAGTAATACATAGCGTGACGACACAGGATTACAAACCAAAAAGTTTCAAATTCAGTTCCACAGTTCTAATAGATACCTGTTTTTTCAAGGCCAATGTAAAGTCGGTAGAAAATATTTTGAACCACTTTATTACTTTTTAAAAAGATCAAAGGGTTATTAACCCAACTTGATTCTATTCTATTATAAAAAGTTTAAGTAATTAAAAATGGACTAAAAATATATCCCGAGGTGCCATCCCCCGTAGTGTTATATTAGAATATTCGAGAAAGTTTAGGGGAGATCACTCCCGGTTTATTATATATGTAGATGTCAGTTTAGTTTAGCACCTGGACATCATTACTTTAATTTTTTTAAGTTGTCTAGGATATTTAATTTGATAACTTGTTTAATTATTCGCATAAGCCTATTCGATATAAAAAAAGATAAGACTTACCTCTTTGTACAAGTACGGGAAAGTAATTGACGCTTAAATTTTCATGTATATAAGAAGTGCCAAACTTGAATTCCATTTCTCCATAGTCTCGCTCTGACACATTTGAGATAGTTATCTTCACGTTAAAACGATACAGGTCAAATCTAACGTTGGTCCATGTCACGCATAATCTCGATACACATTGACCCTTGTACAGCCAGGTATTTTTGTAAGCAACCATTAGAGGTATATCAATTACGGGGTTAGGAATCATTACACAAACATCGAACATAACGTCTTGTCCCAGGTCAGCTTCCAACACTTTATCGTGAGGTAGGCACAGATGTGGTGAACCTATGCGACGAAAAGTTTAATATTCACATTTTATTTTTATTGAACAGTAGTGAGTGACAACATTAAGCAATTTTTACAACATAGACTTTCCTAGTCTATATATTCATAGTAACTAACTTCAACTTGACTTAAATTTAAACTCAGCCCTAGCCCTAGCCCTAGCCCTAGCCCTAGCCCTAGCCCTAGCCCTAGCCCTAGCCCTAGCCCTAGCCCTAGCCCTAGCCCTAGCCCTAGCCCTAGCCCTAGCCCTAGCCCTAGCCCTAGCCCTAGCCCTAGCCCTAGCCCTAGCCCTAGCCCTAGCCCTAGCCCTAGCCCTAGCCCTAGCCCTAGCCCTAGCCCTAGCCCTAGCCCTAGCCCTAGCCCTAGCCCTAGCCCTAGCCCTAGCCCTAGCCCTAGCCCTAGCCCTAGCCCTAGCCCTAGCCCTAGCCCTAGCCCTAGCCCTAGCCCTAGCCCTAGCCCTAGCCCTAGTTCTAGCCCTAATCCTAGCCCTAACCCTAACCCTAACCCTAACCCTAACCCTAACCCTGTCCGGGGGGGGGTAATGTCCTACTGGGCGGGGGGTAATTGACAGGGGGGTAATTGACAGGGGGGTAATTACTCTGGGGGTAATGTCGGGGGGGATATCCGGGGGGTAATTGACAGGGGGAAATGCCCTGTTCCTAAAGGGGGCTGGGCATAGTGCTAACCACACTATATGCCGAGGTCGCAGAAACAAGTGAACTCTACTTCACTTGCACCGTCAGGGTTGAAAGGGAAACTTTTTATATATTCTTGCATGTAACACAAACAGGTTCTGTATTCCTTTAAGGAATGCTGCAAAATCATTAGTCAATTCTCAAAGTGTTAATATATTGCTTTGACGAATGAATTGCTTATTGACGAAATTCCCGAAGTGGTTTAATTAACTTTTCTATAAAGGCAATTGAATAATTGGCTTCTTGGATAAAAGAACTATAGCAATGGATAATACTACAAGGATTAATAATAACATTGTAATACAATTTAGGCACATATTAAATTACTTACATCCAAAAACTGATAGATTTATATCATGTGTGGTATTTGTTACACACAAATATTGGCCAGAATCGTTACACGACAGACTTTGGAAGGTGTACAAAAGTGTGGCCGACAATGACCTTTTTTTAACAAGCACTTTATCTTCATGTAGGATGGCAGCCCAGTCTGATGTGTTAGGTGGATGGCACACAAGCATCAGTGCCGTCTTTTCTGGGTAGCGCACGTGTCTGCGACTCGTGGTAAATCTTTCTGTTTTCATGGCTGAGGAAAGTCATCACGTGAAATTTAATTGTAGTTGAATTCTAAGTTATAATTAAAAGCGTAAATACGACATTGCAGGTGAATTCTAAATTAAAATTAAAAAGGTGAATACGACATTGTCGGTGAATTCTAAGTTATAATTAAAAGCGTAAATACGACATTGTAGGTGAATTCTAAATTAAAATTAAAAGAGTGAATACGACATTGTCGGTGAATTCTAAGTTATAATTAAAAGCATGAATACGACATTATAGGGGAATTCTAAGTTATAACTTAAAAGCGTAAATACGACATTGTCGGTTTATACATTGATCGACAACAATATAAGTTTCTTACAAGCAATGGAAGTTAATTGTTATACTATATTAAAAACCAATTTAAAATTAAAAAAAAACAGAACGTTAAACACAATTCTTACAGTAGTTTCTTTCATTTTTTTTCTTAATCAGTTACATTTATTAGTATGTATATAAGATAGTGTAGTTTATTTGGTCTAATTTAAATCATTCAAACGCTTACGTTCCTTGTTTTTCTTTAAGAATCGGACTGTTGGAGGCATAGTACCTTAATTAATATTTTTTAAAAATTTAATTATAACATCAAACGTTACCACAATCAACCTCTGAAAAACAAGACCAACTCCCATCACACGCCCGCAAAGAGGTCATCCATAAATGACGTCACGCTTTTTTGGACGATTTTTACCTCTCCCCCCTTCCCTCCGTCACACGTCGTCACAAAAAGCTAGACCCCCCCTAAAATGGGGTCACACCCCAGCCTACAACTCCTCAGAATTGCAGTTGAATTTTTTTTTAAACATCGATATTTTTCAAAAATCTTGTCTCAACTCTGTCAAAATAGAATATTTTAATCAATTCCTATTACAATTTATTATAACAGTTTTCTAAAACTCGAAATAACTTCTAAAATTCGTTTTCTAACATTGCTTTTTTATAATTCAAAAGTGTGACATCGCACTATCTGACCCCCCCCCCCCCTTCCCGTCATCACAAACAGTCACAAAATTACGGACCCCCCTTCCCCCTACGAGTGTGACGTCATTTATGGACGAACCCAAATCTCACAATTCGTGTAGACTACTTAACTAACTGCAAATTGCGGTTATATGGTTAGACGTAAGATAATAATATAGGCCTACATGCTTGATTACTATAATTGATAATGTTTTTTGACTAGTCTCACTTGTAGGAGTGTTTTTCTAAAGGCTTATGCGTACGAATAGGGGGGGGGGAAGATGTGTGTGTGGGGAGGGTGGGGAATGCATCCCATGGACAATTTTAGGAAAGTGGCGCCTTCTTGGAGATACAATTTTAAATCACTTCAAAATACAAAAATATTTTTACCATACAGAAACAAACTACTTGAAATAGTTACAAACTATTTTTCAGTAGCCAGTTTTATGCTAAGCAAATATGTAATTCGTTTAAATTGTCTAATTCTTTTAAGTGACCGCGGGGCCGAACAAGGCACACGTATATCCCTAGGTCAGTCTACTTTAGTAACTGGACAGCAAATGCTTACCTGAACAACTAATATTCACAAACAAATTTAATTATAAGTGAAGATTGAAATGTTTACCTGAACAACTTATCTTCACAATAAATTTAAATATAAGTAAAGATTGTAATGTTTACCTGAACAACTTATCTTCACAATAAATTTAAATATAAGTAAAGATTGTAATGTTTACCTGAACAACTTATCTTCACAATAAATTTAAATATAAGTAAAGATTGTAATGTTTACCTGAACAACTTATCTTCACAATAAATTTAAATATAAGTGAAGATTGTAATGTTTACCTGAACAACTTATCTTCACAAATAAATTTAATTATAAGTGAAGATTGTAATGTTTACATGAACAACTTATCTTCACACATAAATTTAATTATAAGTGAAGATTTTAATGTTTGCCTACCTAAACAACTTATCTTCACAATAAATTTAATTATAAGTGAAGATTGTAATGTTTCCCTGAATTACTTATCTTCACAAGAAATTTAATTCTAAGTAAAGATATCAAAGTATTATATATTTAATTATACAAAGTATTCGTATTATATAGATACTATTTACCGTGCTTTATTTTACCGTATTTAAATATTTTTACTATTACTTTAGTTTTTTTAAATTGTTTCGGATATTTCACTTGATTATTTGATTGATCGATACCATAAGCCAATTTGATATTAAATAAAAGATAAGACTTACTTCTTGGTACTAGTAGCGGAAAGTAATTGAAGGTATAATTTTCATATGCATGAGAAGTGCCAAACTTGAGTATGATTTGTCCATAGTCTTCTTTTGACACATTCGAGATAATTATCTTCACGTTAAAACGATAAAATTCAACGTTGGTCCATGTCACACATAATCTCGATACACACTGACCATTGTACAGCCAGGTATTTTTGTAATTAACCGTTATAGGCATATTATCGAAGGGTGCGGGAATCATTACACAAACATCGAACATAACGACTTGCCCCAGATCAGCTTCCAACACTTTATCGTGAGGTAGACACAGCTTTGGTGGACCTATACGACATAAAGTACAATATACATACTTTATTTTTATTGAACAGTAGGTAGCGACAACATTAAGCAATGTGTACAACTTAGACAATTGTATATATTTATACTAGCTAACCGTAGCTTGACTTCAATTTTTGTTTTTAATTTTTTATTACAGAGCCTTGTTGAGACATTTTTGTAGATGTATTCTGATAACTAATTTTTAAATACTTTGTAATTTCTTGCATGTAACACATACATTTTTAGTAACCATTAAGCTTTGTACAGAAATAAGGAAGCAACTTTTTTCCTTGCTATAAGTGTTAATATATTGCTTAGACGAATAAATTTCTTATTGACGAAAATTCCGAAACGGTTTAATTAACTTTCCAAGCTAATTAAAACATTTCCAGTTAAATCTCAATGACCTACGATGTCACATTTAAAAAAAAAATACTGTTAAAGCAATTAAATCAATGGCTTCTCAGATAAATTTACTAGAGCAATGGATGATAATAACTGGATTAGTAAGAACGTTGTAAAAGAATTATTTTGTACATATTAAATCACTTACATCCAAAAACCAACACATACATGTGTCGCGTCGTATTTGTTACACACATATAATGTCCCATATCTTTACAAGACAGACTTGGGAAGGTGTATATAATAGCGGACGACGATTTACTTCTGTAACCAAACACTTTATCTTCATGATGGATGGCAGCCCCGGATGTGTTGGCGGAATCGCACACAAGAGTGAGCTCTGTCTTCTCTAGCCAAGTAACATATCTGGGATACTCGGCAAAACTTTCTGTTTTTATGGCTGAAGAAATAAAAATCTTTTAGCGAAGTACAGTTGTTTCATCACCCTCAATAGGGCTGGTAAGTAGGTCACCAACCAGTTCTAGGGCTCATGCAGGTTTTAATGAGCCGTAGAACTGGTTGGTGACCTACTTACCAGCCCTATTTTGATCTTGATGAAGCGTATCTTTAAAAAAAAAACAAATTCACTGTTCTAACAAAACTATAATTATATAATATATAATTATATACATATTATGTATTTAACACGTTCACTTTATATCTACCATAGTTTCATATTTGTTGGTTACAAATCATCAAAGTAATTAGGTGGCGTACTTTTAGGATATGTTGATATAATAATATTAG